AAAAAAAAAAGAAGAGCCAAATAGGCAGAGTTCTGGAGGGCAGATGGATCAAAGAATGAGAATGTGTGAATGAAAAACAGATTTTGACGTGGGGTTGGTCACATGTTCCGTATATGCCATAAGAACCAATAAAATCTTATTATCACTGATAATGATTCTTTACATGTATTACTAAATACAAAACTATAAAACATTTTAAAATAATTCTGAAAGCTTCATCTTAAATGAAGTTGAATTTTAAAACAGATCCAAACACAAAAAGATGGATTAGATTTTATTCAGAATGACTCAACTTCTAGGAATTATCTTCACAAGTGAAGCTTTGAGAAACAAATTGACAGCCACATATGGCATATAAAAGATGCTAAGTAAATATGTCTTGCATATGCTGTTATTCATCTTGACTAAATTAAAATGTATTTTTATACTTTTAAGAACAGAAATCTGTAATATGTAGCAGAAAGTTTTTCAAAGTGTTTAAAATGGCTGGGGTACAAAAGATACCCCTGTTCACCTTGTACTTTGACCTCTTAAGTCAAGTTGATGAACAGCCTTAACCCAATGTATCTCTTTTCTAATATTATCACAATGCATAATTGGTTCTGAGGTTATTTAGTAAAAAGTAAAGGAAAATTTTCTTTCCTCTCTTCCTACATATTTAAAAATATACCTATTTTTAGCTATATTAAAAAAATTGCTTTTGTTTTTTTTTTTAAAATCAAGAACCCAAATAAAAAAGTTTGAGCCTATGAGATCTAGAAAAATTATATTCAGTATGGGTTTTTTTTGAGACATTTCAATAAATGACTTTATTTCTTATGTTTTCCAATTTTCAATCCAAGGACTTCTCCAAATAATTTCATCGCTACGCTAAGAGCGATGAATATAGATTACTTATCAATATATAGCATAAACTATATGTCCTAACTTGTGCCAAGTATTTCTAATGTCAGAAGTTTGTTCTTTAAACATGCCAGCATTAGCAATCCTGACTTTAATAAAAGATTTCAACACACACTAGCAAGAGGTAGTGAAACCTGGAAGATAGGAGTAATATCCCATGGAAAGTCCGTCTACTCAGTGATTCAGCCACTTATTAACTATTGATAATCGTTCCATTTTCCGTTTAGGATAAGAGGATATTCGATCCTTGGTAATGAATATATATGTACTAGTCATAGTCCATCCCTTCAAATTTTTGCCTTTTATATAGACAGGTGAACTGAACTATGGGTGAAACAAGTTGAGCATGAAATCTTAAAACTTCACATTCTAGAGTATCCCTTTCTGACCATGCTATTCAGGTAACTCTGTCATTAACTGTGGTGCATAGCTGCCATCCTGCAGAGGGCACTGTAACTAAAAGTCAGTCTTGATTGTTATATAAAACATTTTGCATAAATTCTTTTAACCAGATGAGAAATTTACTACTTATATTTTTTATTTATATCAGAAAGAATCAAAGTCATTGAAACTATATTCTAACAAGAATAAAATAATGTAGAAGAATGTTTATACCTACTGAAAACTTTTGTGCTTCAAACACATATACGTATGATTGAAACTAAAATCCCTAAGAAGAAGAAAGATGACATTGAACACAGTTGAGAAAACTTTGAAGCATAGCACCAAAACTTTAGTTTTCTCGGTATCTCTTTAGATTTATGGGCAGAATTTTATGAGAATTTAATCCACTAGTTGAGTGCATCCATCATGGATTCTTAGCCCAGGGTCCATGAATGGACCTTAGGGTGTCTGTTACTCTAAAATTGTACATAAACTTTTTTTTACCTATATTCATATGTGCATTTTTATGAGGAAAAGTTCCGTAACTTTCAATAAATTATCAAAGTCACTGGCTTTACAAATGGTTGGGAGAGGAGAGGGTGAGGTAGAACAAAAGGAGACTGATAACCTTTGGCCTGCTTTGTGAGTAAAACATTATATCAGTCATTTTGGGGTATGTACAAGGGTAAAGGTAATCCACATTTTTAGGGCAGTTAGTGAACTAACATTTACTAAACTATCACACAAAGCCAGGTGCTGAACTGAGTGCTTTACATGTAGTAATTCATTCATTCAAACCATATCCCCAGGAGGTAGGTGGTGGTCTCAGCATTTTTTAGATGAGAGACCAGCAGCTCTAGTGGGAAGATCTCAGCTCAAACCTGATTCTATTATTGAGGCGCTGTGTGACCTTGTATGAGTTACTTACATCTAAGTCTTAGTTTCCTCATCTGTAAAATAGGAATGGGACGGCCTACCTTGTAGAAATCTTGTGAGGATTATAGAGATTTTATTTGGAAAACAGTATGATCAGTTCCTTGCTCAGATTCAATGAATGTTAGTTATAATGAAAAGATTCAGAAAGGTTAAAGAACTTGCCTCAGAGTCAAAGGATAGAAGTGGTAGAACTCATTGTCTAATTGGGAAATTTGATAAATTCAGTGCCAATCCAAGATGGCCCAAATCTAAGAAATCTTCATGAAGATAAGAGGAGCTACGTCTCAGAAGATTAATAGGATTGGTTTAGGATAACACCTCTCAACTGAGAATTAAGCCCTAATGCATACATTATATATAATGAATTAGTTTATTTCCTATGCACCTAGAAAGTACTAACTTTGGGTATAGATATCTGTACCTAAAGAATAGGTCGGGGTGGAATTTTGAAAAGCTCTTGAGTGCCATGCTAAAGAGTAGCTCTTAGTAACCATAGAAGCCTAGTTTGGGGTTGGGGGAAGAGGTAAATATAGACATGACTGTTTGTTAAGTATAGCACTTAGGACCATAAAAAAATGTAATCTAGGACTATAAGAAATATGTAAATCCATGCAAGTATAGATTTATTTATTTGAAATGTGTTGAATTTTAAGTTTACCTTCTGTCAGCATAAGAGCTGTGAGATGCTTTTATGTTGAGTAGTTGAGAAACTCTAGGTTATGAAGATTATCAAAAACATTCTGTTAGTTAAGATGGTAAATCTGTGAAAAAATGCACTGGCTTTTACAGTTTTGTTTGCTTTTATAGGACCTAAGAAAAGCTGGATTGCTGATTTTTGCTAATAAACAAGATGTTAAAGAATGCATGACTGTAGCAGAAATCTCCCAGTTTTTGAAACTAACGTCTATTAAAGATCACCAGTGGCATATCCAGGCGTGCTGTGCTCTTACTGGCGAGGGGTAAGAAGTCATTTTCTTGGAAAACATGTATTTAGCTTAGAAACATGTATTTCTTCTTAAAATCAGTAAATATTTAAGGCTAGCATGTCTAAAACATTGTAAGGGAGAGATGTAAGACATAGTCCATATCTGCAATGAGAGAGTTTTTAGCTTGATTCTGTAAAGAATAAAGCACACAACATACACATAAACATACGTGTGAGCGTATAGATGATAGAGTTGCTGTAGGAGTTCAGAGAAATGGAAGTGTCGTGGGGAACTGGAGAAGTTGGGAAACAGTTCCTCCACTGGTGGTGGGACTTAACGCTATAAAAAAGAAACTAACTCGGGGCCGGCCCCATGGCTTAACGGTTAAGTGCGCACTCGGCTACTGGTGGCAGGGGTTCGGATCCCGGGCGCGCACCGACGCACTGCTTGTCCGGCCATGCTGAGGCAGCGTCCCACATACAGCAACTAGAAGGATGTGCAACTATGACATACAACTATCTACTGGGGCTTTGGGGAGAAGAAAGGAAAAAAAGGAGGAGAATCGGCAATAGATGTTAGCTCAGGGCCGGTCTTCCTCAGCAGCAAGGAGGATTGGCATGGATGTTAGTTCAGGGCTGATCTTCCTCACAAAAAAAAAGAAAAAAAAGAAAAATCTAAAAAATCTGAGCAGATCTGTCTTTAGATCATTATTAAAAAAAAAAGAAAAGAAACCAACACTTGCTGAGCATGTCCTGTGTCTTGAGTGCTTTCCGTATAGTGCTTTCATAACAATCCTGTAGAACAATTGTTTTCAATTCACATTTTATACATAAAGAAGCTGGAATAGAAGAGGATTTATGTGTGAGACCAGTTTGAGGATACTCACTTTTGCCCACCAGTTTTGTCAAGAGGGAGATGTTGCACTTTTTAAAAAAAATGAGTTAGAATTGGAGAGAGTGTGGCATGAGGGTCCTTGGTTCCGGAAAGAAAGGTGGATGCCTACAGTAGAATTTTGTCCTAGTCTGATGCCCAGAGATGAAAGGATTTCAAGAAGAAAGTGGTTGTCAGCATTGTTAAATGTAAGGTCAAGGAGCAGGAGGATGGAGAGAGTGCTATTAGGAGAGATGGAACAGACGAGGTTAGAAATAGGATAAAAAGCCAAGAGGATGGGCACCTAAAGTAAAGTTTTTATTGTAGTTGTTTTTCCATAATATGGTGGATGTGTATGTATTTAAAAGCAGAGAAAAAAAATTAAATTGGAGATGAAGGAGTTGAGATGTTAAATTTGGAGTTGAGGTTTTTCAGGTGTTAGGAAAGGGCAGAAGCCTGGGGTATAGATAGATAGCTTCAATAACTCATTGTATTGGTTCACCCTTCACCATGGTCTAGAAGAGAACTTCTCCCACTTCAGCTAACTCGTGTGTTTATGCCCCAAGCTTCTGCCCTTTCCCAACACTTGAAGAACCTCAGCCCCAAATTTAAGACTTCTGTTTAGAATCTCTCATGTATGTATTTAAAAGCAGAGAAAAAAGAATTAAATTGAAGATGAAGCCGAATTTTACTCAGTGAAATAGAAGGCACGCTTACCTGATTACAGACATTTGGAAGAGTGTAAATAGAACCTCAAAAAAGCAAATCTGTCCATTTAAGAAAATATCCCAGATAATACCAATTGTCCACATATTCATTTAAGTAAAAATATCTGTTAGGTATTCTCTTTGTCAAATAGTTTAATACGTGTCAAGATACATAGATAGATAGAGAGATATCTTTATGTGTGTTGTCTTTGTTTATCAAAGGTCTTTAAGCAAAAGCACTGATTGTAATACTAAATTTGACAACAAAGACAAATCATCTATGATTGATATAAGATTTAACTTTTATACTCTGAGTAATCATGTAGAAAATATATCATTAGTTAGGATAGATATGAACTCTGACGGTTTCATTTCAAAAGAGGAAATCAATAGATGATGGTAGCTTTTCAAATTTTGGTTTATGTGGGCTTCTGTTTGCAGCAGTTAGCAAGTAGAAATGTTTGGTTTTGGGGGAAATGTTTCCCTTCTGTAGTCTGGCCATCTTGGTCTAAATTTTTGGTTTTTTGGTATTGGTCAGTGTTTTGACTTCCACCTCTGCTGTCTGTTAACATCTCTGAGCCTGGGTTCCCTCCGTAGTGTGGGAAAGGTTCTGTTCTCAGTGTTGTGAAGTTTAAGATAATGGATATTAAGTGCTTAGCACACTTTCTAGTTTGCTGTTAGGTAACTACTATTCATTTAACAGTTGAGAGTTAAATAATTTATTCACCTATATTCTTATTATTTCATACCATTTCCTATCAGTAGTTTAAAAGTAAGGAATCTAATAACAGGAGAAGAGTGTGGGCCAATACCAAAATAAGCATTTATTTACCTCATTGCCTTTTTTTTTTTCCTATTTATGTCTTCTTTTATGTTATTAGACTCATATTTACATAAAAATCTGAGTACTGTTTTTTTTTTTAATTTAATATGGTACCACAGTTTCTCATTTCTATTAAAGCTCCTCATAGGTAATAGTTAATGCTTTGTAACAGTCCTTCATTTTGTTGTGACATAATATGTGCTACCATTTCCCTCTTGCTAAAACATTTAGTTTCTTTTGCCACAATGAACATCTCTTTCTTTATTTTGGATTATGTCCAGTTACCCATTGTTCAGTGATAAATGTTTAGTGATATGAGATTTCTTTTTTTTTTTTTTTTTTTGCTGAGGAAGATTCTGCCTGAGCTAACGTCTGTTGCCAGTCTTCCTCTTTTTGTATGTGAGCTGCTGCCACAACATGACCACTGACTAGTGGCATAGGTCTGTGCCCGGGAACCGAGGCTGGGCCACTGAAGTGGAGCATGCCAAACTTAACCAGTAGGCCGCGAGGGCTGGCCCTCAAATTTTTTTAATATATAGATGTAACATACATATTATATGTATACTTTGTTTTAACACGTCTGCTATATTTGGTTTAACATCCTGCCATTTTTACTTCATTTATATCATGAGCATTTTATCATATTGTAAAATAGTTTTTTTTTTTTTTTAAGATTTTATTTATTTATTTATTTATTTT